CCACTGAGCTATGTAGCTCTTTTTCAGAAGTGAGCTGGCCATAAATGATCGCTCAACCAAGTGGCTTATCGTGTGGAAATTTATAGCAGCCAAATACTCGAAACGCGTGTCGATTCTAAATTTGGGGTCGGGATTCACGGCGCCTGCTGGAGAGGCGCGGCTTGGAGGGCCGCCGAGCTGCGGAACCGGCAAACCGCCATGGGCCTCACGCAAAAGAATGGCCTCACAGTGGGCCTGGTTCGTTGTTGTTGTTGTTGTCGTCGTCACGAACGAATAAGGAACCTTACGGGCAGGGCAGCCTTGATGACGCATATCATAACACGTGCAAAGGGGACCGTGAAACTATTAATGGGAACCATCCGTGGGCCTCCTGTAAGTCTGCAAATAACTGAACAGGCTTGAGGCTGTCAAAATTGTGGTGAACGACAGACGGGGGTTGAGCAGAGAAGCAGGTTGTAGCTGAGAGGGAATGATGCCGATGGATGAAAACAAAAAATTATGAACGTACAGAAATATATGCAGTGCACTCACGATTAACCGCGCTAATGACGGGGAGGACGGCTGCGGATAATTAGAAATCGCGGAAAACCCAAAAATATCCATTTTCCGCAGACTATTTCGATTGTTACTCTTTCGATTTAGAATGACTAACGATCAATGCGCGTGCTCAGTGGTAACACTTTCCTGCTCCCACGCAGAAGACTCAGCCCACTAAGTGGATGATAGCTGAGCCACGCCAATCAACATCAATCAAACTCTGCCCATTGTTGTGAAGATATGCAACTACTGCACTGTAGAGGCCATCATGTAGATTTCGGATTAACCAGAGCACGCATTTAATCGGTTCAATCAGGTGGCTTGTAGTAAACATTTACAAGAATAACAATGCATAACTGTTTTTAGATGATTAATTCGGGCTTCAGGGAAAATCCACGCGTTCTTTAATTAATGTCAAAATCTCAGGTGCACGGTTCATCCGCCAATCGGATGAACCGCACGCGGATAATCGAGAATCTGTTGCATTGAGTCGCCTCTTGTGATTGGAGCACGTGAACACTGCGATACAAATTGGCTGCCAAGTTGCGTCGCACTGGGGGTCTTCAGACACAAGAGTGTCTCAAGGTGCCGTCCACAGAGCGTGGAGCCCACAAACACACTGACCTCGGCATCACACCCACGGGCACTCTCCTCCGCATACAAAGCGCGAGCCCATTAGGACCACGTGAGCCCCAGGGAACGGCAGGCGGGCTCACTCTGCCGAGCGTGCCTATTCTTGCCGTTTAATCATCGCAGCCGGCTCGATTGCCGCAGCCTCGGCACTCTGCACGAGCCGCGCCGTAAATAGCCGTCCTTTGCCAAAAATAGCACCGACGATTCATGGTCGGCAAAAGCAGAAAAAACATTAACCCTCGAGCGTCAGGAACCTCCCTTCGCGATTCTTGGAGAAAATTACATTCCTGTAGGAGAACACGACATCCACCCACAGCAGCTGCCGAGTTGCCGAGCGTGTCATACTCGTGCATCAGCGTGGGAGTTGTTGGAATTCCTGTTAAGTACATGAACATCGGTTGACACACCAGACATCCACGATTTCCCTGCGCATCTAAGATGCGTGCCAGGCCGTCAGAACACCGATCGCTGGGCAACTCGAACAGTGGCTTTAATCCAGTTCTCATTGCAGTTCTCTACCGGATTCGTTTAGGCGGAGAAATGACAACAGAACGTGTGCTCTGAAATAACGTGAACCAACATTTTGTTATCTTAATATTATAGTTACATATTGTCTTCTTCCTGTCCGGATGAAAGCGGCAAAGGCAGCATTGTTGAGGCCTTCATCCAGCGGTAGATAGATAGTGGCTGACGGTGATGATGACGTGGTGCACGTGCACGAACGGATTTTAAATTCGTGTGAAGTTGGGGAGGAGTCTGCATCACCCATCAGAGGCAAAGTTCAAAGAGGCTCTTTCTTCATGCAGCTGCAGAGCGCCGCAGACCTTTGGAATATTTTAAAGGTTTACGAGTTTATTTTATCATGAATTATTAACACATGAACCACCGAATGCGATATTGCATGACCGTTAACGTAGGCTGATTAATACTGCTCTAGATTTAACACTATTGTCATGATTTTCAACAACTCATGTCGAATTATATAATTTTCAAGTATTTTTTTGTGGCTCCAGGCCCCGGGCCTTGTGACGCTGAGAGTTTTGGGCACAGTTTGCACGAAGAACGCTGCATAAACCGTAAGCTATGAATAATATTACTGCGATTATAATTCAACTCAAAGCATTCAGTGTAACTGAACACTTAAAACTCCGATGGCACTTGAAAGAAACTGTTTGGGACTCTATCTGATGACGCGAACCGACCCACTTGTTTTTCCAGAAATCGGGGAAATTCCAAATCTGAACTCAAACACTGGTGCAGCTGTCATAACAAAAACAACAACCAGCTGTGACGATGGGTTACACAAAGATCGCTGCAATGTTGGGCTCAAGATAAATACGAGCAAAACGATCATTGTGCGGAACTACACAAAACACAATGATTAAAATTAAACTATTTATATTTTACCAGGTAAGGCCCCGCTGAGCTACGTAGCTCTTTTTGAGAAGTGACCTGGGTATCACAAATGATAGCCCAACGAAGTGGCTTATCACGTGGACATTTATAGCAAAAAAATACTCTAAATGCATGTTTCTAAATGTGGAGGGAAAAACTGGAGGGCCTGGAGTCAAATCCACGTGACCATGGGGAGAGAGACGGGTAAACTCCAAATATACAGCAGGCATCAGGGTAGGGTTCAAACGCACAACATCCTGTATACCAGGCGAGGTAGTGAACATCTCCAAGCCACCACATCGCCACCATGATTGTTGGAGAGACACAGCAAAATACGTAGCGCTGCTTGGGGCGCGTATTGAGGGCGGATTAGGATGGCAGCAATGTGGGTCAGGGAAGCAGTTGTAAATCCGAAGCGTCGTTTCGACTTCAACAAAGTGTCGGCTAGGGGCAGACGTCGCTGCTGAACGCCTTGGATGACGGCCCATGGACAAAGACCGGCGGTGGAACAGCAGCCACAGGAGGGCACAAGCCGGAGACGGAGCAATGAAATGAGCTCATGTAACGAGAGGCGACCGGAGATCCGCGCTATATAATGTTGCAGGGCTGCCCATGAATTAAATGCAGCAACACCCTCGCTTTACGTCGGGGATGCGTTTCTGAAAGGTGCGACGGCGATGATCGAATCGACGTCAATCGAAGCGATGTACAGGGTAGTAGTAGTGGTTGGTGGTGGAGGCGAAGGCTAACGAGAGAGGGGGGCGGACGATGGCGTCAGCGACGTGAACGTGCGGAGAAAAGGTGACACAAATAACAAAGCGATGACGTATCTGCGAAACGACGTAGGAGGGGGAGGCGTTCATTGGGATGTTACTACAAATACAATCAACACACCACGAGAAGGCCGAGGCACGGGAAGGCATTCAGCAGCGGATTGACCACGGTTGATGATGATGAAAATTCAACGTCAATATTAAATTCTAGATTTTAAGTTTTCGTGACTTCAAGGATTCATGCTCTTTGGTTTTTTCGGTAAAGTCACGTAGGTAAAAAAATAATAATCACGACGTTTCGGAGGCAGTAATTTTGCTGTGACGGTTCCATCTGAAGATGGAGGCTTGTGTTGCCTCTGAAACGTCGTTATTTAATTTATTTACATTTTTTACCTATGTGACTTTACAAAAAAAACCAGAGTATCAATATTAAAATTGCAATTACTCATTTATACTTTTTATATACGCTTCACATTGTCTCCAAACAAGTTTGCATTTTTCCTTCACGTTGCATTATGTTGGTGCAGAAATTGGCTGGCCGATGTGTGCATCACCCCTAGCAAGGGGTTAACCAGCGAGGAGGTGGCGTCTCAGCGGTGCAACAAAAGTGCGAATCGCTGAGTCAGGGCCTCGGTCTAAACATTTCATACACATCTAACAAACGCCCGTAAATGCTCACGGCGTAATTCCTCAAAAATTACTCTGTGGTTTGCATTCCCCAACACGGGCAGATGGATGGCTCCTAACTCTATTACAATTTTCACAGGCATTTCATGCCACATATTCTTTCAAGTGCAAATCGTCCAAAAAATAAATGTGTAGCGATCACGCTGCTAGTACCAATCCACGTAGCCCTGCACGTGCGCTACGTACAATCGCGTTCGCACCCCAGACCTCTTTGCAAGAAGAGGTTGCGTGAGCGTCAATGACGACCTTTCCTCTCCCCGCCAGCGAATATTGCGTGAGCGCGTGCGCGTTTTGTGATGTGCTTTCCGTGTTACACAATGTTGGGCCATTTGAGCAGCGTAATCAAACGCAAATCCTGATAGCGCGCGCGTGCAGTGGAGATGAACGAGGGCGCCCTTGAATAGGAGGGTGAACACATTCCCCGTCACGCTCGCTGCCAGCAGGGTCTGTGCCCCGTCAGCACCCGGAGGGAGTTTACCCAACGAGGTTGGACCCCGTCCACCACCCCCCGGACCCCGCGGGCGAGCCACACCCCCCGCCCGCCGTCGTAGACGCCGATATAATCCGCGAGAAACGGTCCGCCAATTCCCGTGGCGCCGACGCTGCTTACAGCTCACGCCACGTGCGGGACACCCCCCCCCACCCCCACTCGTCCTGCACTCCTAGCTCGCTAAAGAGAGCACTTGGAGAATATGGGCACATTCGTCCGTGGCAATAATTATCGTGACCCAAGAAAGCCACAACCGAGTCTCACGACTCTTCTTCTGAAGCGTCCTGCCAAGGTTTCGCAGTATTGGGGGGGGGGGGGGGGGCGGTAATTGCCGTCTTGATGCAACTGAGTTTTTGGCAAACTGCACCTCGACAGCCTTCGTCGGTGCTTTGCTAACAGCGCTCACCATAACGGGGGGGGGGGGGGGGGGGGGGGGTTAGAATCTTGTCTTTGTGCGAGTGCGCGAGCGAGCGGCGTTTCCGTACCGCGACAGCTTCGTGCCGATCTGCTGCCGCTGCTCCTGCCGCTCGACGGACGACTGCCGCGGCAAGATGTTCTTCCTCTCCAGCTCCTCCTTGCTGGGCCGGTTCCGCAGCTTGGCGGCCAGCGAGTCGCGCCGGGCCACCTTCCGCGCCAGGCCTGCTGTAAAAGCGCACGCGGCACACACCCCACCCGATGTGAGAGGTCACCGTCCGGGGTCACGGTGAACTCCCCGTGGTGGCGGCGGCGGTGAGCGGGCACCACGGTGCGGCCGCGTCCCCCCCCAGCGGAGGGGTCTCTCCAGGTGACGGTGGCGACGTCGCAGCAGCAGCTTGATTACCACCCCCCCCCCCCAAAGACGCGACAACAACCTCGTTATTGTGACCAGACAACCTCGTCGCAGCACACTGGGAGTTGGGGGGGGCTACACTTTCCGCTCGACGTTCTCTGGAACGCTGCTCGGCTGTCTTGGAAGCAGGGATTATCCGCACAAGGCACTACCCCTAGGATGTGTGATCCTACGTGATCGGCAGTATGGAAGTTGCGTGCCAAAATAATGGCTGGTGGTGTACGGGACTGTTCTGGTTAAAATCAAGCACTGGCAAAACTCCCCAAGTTTCAATATTTGGCAACAACAATTCATCAGGGAAGGTGTCTAATGTTGTTCCCTTTACCCGGGAATGTTTCACCTGAATGTCCACATCATCTATGTCTACTCCTCATGATTGCGGACACGCCGTGCGATCGTGGACATGCAACCCAGATTCCTGGACCGTACAGAGACACACATAGACGGAGACTCATTGAGACACCTAGAGACACGTATAGATACATAGAGACCCGCAGAGACATATAGAGATGCATTAAAGATGAGCCACAGTGTGATGAGGGCCATGCACCAAAACTATGGACCGATAAGAAACCCATAGACACAGCGATCCCTTCCTGCAAACCGCCGCGGTTAGCAAGACTAAAGGCTTATGGAAAGTAGGGGGTTAGGTTCCATGGCCTAAATAGCACATCCTATGCATTCAGCAAACGTGAAAAATATGTAAAGTAACTACTATTTGATTCTTTCGGTAAAGTCACGTAGAAATAAATAAAATAATAATAGAATACGACGTTTCGATTGCAACACAAGCTTCTATTATTATTTAATTTATTTCTACGTGACTTTACCGAATGAACCAAATAGTAATTCCTGCGGTCACGAAAGCTTCGGATCTAGTTTGTACAGCAACTGTCAAACATACCGTACTCTGTATGAACTAAATTATGTTCACATTAATACTGAACACAAATACTTTTGAATGACATTTAACATTGCTACTCCGATCGGCACGGGTCGGCTACGTACGGTGTGAAAGAAGTTCAACAAACATATTGTAGCGAATTCCAGATAACGATGGCAGTGACGTTGATGTTGATATTAGGGGAGGGTTGGTAGGGGCTGTCCCCCTTCCTTAGAACTTGTTTCTTTAAAGACAACGCTACGCTCACCTTCACTACCACCAGCTCGACGCTTAGGGGCCATGATTAAGGGCTAAAAAGTGAGTAATATTGTGCAGTAATTGCGCTGTAACTTTCACGAGGTATAAATTCGAGCACTTCTACGATTTGAGAGACTGCTGCACAACAACTGAACGACGCTGACGTGTACCGTACTCCATAACATCAGGTTTTATGGGTTAGATCGCCTAAATATAAATGTGTCATTAAGTGGCGTTGTATTAACGTGATCTAACCCGCCCCCCCAAAAAAAAATCGATATTACGGATGATATTGGTCGTGAAAGCTTTCGTGTTAAACCAAAGTATTGTACTGCACGCAAAGGCAAGCGTGGTGGGTTACACACGCACTTGATGCGCCCCTGGTGGCGGATTGCTGGAACGGGGCTGGAGATTTGAAATCGCGGGGAGTGGGGAAAACCAAACTGTGGTTACGCGAAACTGTGTACCATGGTTGGCAAACACATTCCTGCGGAGGGAGCTGGTAGGAACGTTGGGTTGCTCGGTCAATGGCCAGGGTCAATGGCGGCGTGGTGTATTCCGCAAATATGGCCGACTGTGAGGGCGGGGACAAGCCGGCGTGAGTAGGTTAAACGTTGAGTTTTATAAGGGCACCATGGGGTGACCAGCCCCTCCCCACTCAGCCCCGCCCCTCCCCACCCTCCCCACCCAGCCGCTCGCCACCCTCCCCACCCAGCCCCTCCCCACCCTCCCCTCCGCACCCAGCCCCTCCCCACCCTCCCCTCCCCACCCAGCCCCCCTCCCTCTCCACCCTCCTCTCCACCCAGCCCCACCCCTCCCATTTTTGAATGCACGACGGACGGACACAATAATCCCCTGTGGGCTGGTGTAACCAGGAGGTTCCTACCAGTAAAACGGTATACGTAAGATTATGCGTGGATACTCGAAACCACGGTTGACGAGGGATTGCTGTACGGTACGTAGATCCGACCGTGTCCGTCCAGTATTCACCGAGCTGCATTGGCTTCCAGTTGTCGAACGAATACACGTTAAGGTCGTGCTCAATACACACAAAGTGCTTGCCACACATTAACCATCATCATGCAAACTTTGGTCATCCTCGCGGTAGCGGCTTTTGGCTGCTGCCATCGAACAAAGACGGTCACCGTATTGCGCGGCGCTTTCAGATGCGCTTCTGCGGCCGTCTGGAACGCTCTCCCTTCCGATGTGAGGAAGCCACTGGAGCTATCCACCTTTAAATCATCGAGATTGAAAACTCATTTCTGTAGAACCGATTTTTGTGTTTAGTTTGTAGTCCTTCCTGCGCACCTCCGATTAGCACGGTTGGCTATGTACGGTGCGAAAGAAGTTCAACATGCTTGTATAAATACTCATTCAGATACACAGAGGCACATAGAGACCCATAGAGATGCATTAAAGACAAGCCAAAACATGACTGGCCATGCAACCCAAACTAGGGACCGTGTAATAAACCCGCTGGGATCTGCGCTCCTTCAACGGAAGAGGAGCAGCGACACGACACGAACTCTCTCTCTGGTGAAACCCTCTCGGCGTGGCTAACAGACCTCGACATTGGAATTTATCCCTGAACGCATTGCTGCCATTCACACACTTGAACAGAACAGAATGACGAAACAAAGGTCATGAATTATGTTTGTATGCAAGCAGTGCTGTTGTGACCTCACGAACCAAGACACATTTTCTATTAAATATAACTTATTAGCAGAGACGGATTATTTTTTTTCTTCCAAGTTTAGAATAATCAAGGTTGCAGTTGGCCGACTTGGCCATCAAGGAAGATGTCTCGGCATGTAGAGGAGACGGTGATATATCACTTTCAGTGCACTCAACGAGCGTGCTATCCTGGGCTTGGCATGAGGGATCAATGGTGGAGAGCTGTAAAAGTGTTGGGGATGTAATGGAGGCCTGAGGGACGTAAGGATTCATGGGGGACTGGGAATGGTCAGCGAGTAAGCCAGTCGTTGTTGCTCAGGGTAAACGGCAGGCGATGGGAAGCAGGGAAGCATCACAAGCAGGACACTCGGCCTGAGCGAGTTACTCTCATGAGGCCAAACTCCGACCCTTCGTTCATGCTGATGAAACCCAATCCAGTTTGAAGGTCACAAACTTATGACTGTAAATTCATCAATTGCCCAGCGTATTTAACCAGGCGCTTACCAATCAAGTTCAAATCCTAGCTGGGAGCCAACTCAGTCCATCATCCCTCTGGGGTCAACAAAATTGAGAACCACTTTGTGGGGGAGATCAAGGGTGGTTGTCCCGAAGGAACTTGGAATTTCAACCACTGCAGGGCTGTAAACGCTCAATTCCACAGCAGGAGGAGATCGCTGTGACTGACTGGCTAGGATCTAAAACTAACTGAACAATTTGTTTTACCAGGTAAGGTCCACTGAGCTGTAGAGCTCTTTTTCAGAAGCGACCTGGCTATAACAAATGGTAGCTCAATGAAGTGGCTCATCATGCGGAAATGTATTACAGCCAAATACTCTAAAGGCATGTTTATAAATGTGGAGGGCAAAACCGGAGGACCCGGAGAAAAGTCCACGTGATCACAGGGCGAACATTCAAACTCCAAATACACAGCAGGCGTCAGGGTCGGGACCGAACCCACAAACTCCTGTACACCAGGCGAGGGAATAAACGTCTCCTAGCCACCGCGGCGTCCCGTCATCTGCGACGCGTTTGTTAGCCGATGGCCGCGCCACGTACTGTAGGTCTCGATCTCGTCGCCGTGCTCCCAGTGCAGCCAGGGCCCCCCCCCGTCGTTCTCCCGGTTCTCCTTGTTCTCCTCCGCTGGAAAGGCCACAGAGGCGGGAGCGGACGGGGGAGCCTCCGTCGTGTCCGCGAGGCCCGTGTTGGTAGTCCGCGGCGTCGGGCACTCCTTCTCCAGCCTCAGCGACGACGTCGACCTTTGCGGGGGAGGAAGCAAGCGGGGCCCACGGGGAAGAGCGTCAGTCCGCGGGGCCCAGGGGGCGCTTCGCGTGACACGGCCACCTGACGTGGCATCGCCGTGGCGAGGTTCCGGTTCCTACATTTACTTGCAAATTCCATCTCTAGCCCGGCCCACTTACCCTTGGGTTGTACACACCTCAAACGTGTATACCCTTTGGCTGCAGTAGCTCTCTCGCTACATTTCTTCCTGCCTCAGCAGTCCACCTGCTGTATTTTTTCACCTGAAGACGATTGCTTGTGTTGCGATCGAAACGTCGTGATCTATTAGTGATTTTTCTATCTAAGTGACTTTACCGAAAGAACCAAAGAGTATGATTCCTGCAGTCACGAAAGCTTCAAATCAAGATTAATACGGGGAGAGGTGAGTGGAATTCTCATGTTTGCCTGGGACAGATTTTTTTTTTAACCCGGGACAAAACGGGGACTTACACAAATGCTTCAGGAGTACAATGGACAGCTGACCTGAAACCCAGACATTCCCGGCCAAATCAGGGCATGTGACGACAGCCTTAGGTTACACACAAAGACTCCGCACAATTCTCGATTACTCATCTAGAAACGCTTTCAAATGACATTTCTATGAAAGCCCCCACAGTGCAGTCTCTATTGTTCACTCAACCACTCTGGCCTCTCTATCTCTCCGCTACACAGAAGGGCCATCGCCCAAAGCGACGTTCATTATTATTACATCTCTCTTACTTCAAGGGCAGTCGTTACGACTGATGAACGCGAGCTTTTGTTATTTGTGCGCCACTACCAATGCGGCATCGCAACGCGAACGCTGCGCAAAAGTCTGAACCGAGCCGCCACTCGGGATGGTGGAGCAGGCAGCCCACACCTCGGCATGGCCACGGTGTAGCCCTCGATCCTCTGCGCAGCCTTGGCGAGCGCTCGGTTCAGCTCCTCAATCACGCTGCTGGGCGGCTGCAGGAGGAACGCCTGCGACGCCAAGGAAGACGGCGGCGCCTGCTGCTGATGATGCTGCTGCTGATGGGGCTGATGATGGAGCTGAGGCTGCTGGGGCTGCGAGCTCTGTGGACTCTGCTGAGTCGGCTGGCAACCAGGCAAGCTGGCAGGCTGAGAAAGGAAGTGCAGGCCCCCGCTGGGCCTTGCGGCCGATGAAGCCTGTGGGTGACCATGTTGATTATAACCCCACAATGGTAATGATGTATTTTTGATGAAAAAAAAAGAATAGGTTTTACCCTTTCTGGCAATAAAACAGCTGTTAAGATGTTCAAACACCAAATACATACCTCTTTCAAGGAATCAAGTCCTGCATTAACCACATGTACTGTACGCGTGGTGAACATGCAAACACACAAGCTCTGAAAATATATACAATGTCTTTGAAACTGATTGGCCGACACCAGAGAAAGCCTTCTTTAGGGCCTAGTCTCACCAGTGTCAGACCAGAGAACGCCAGAAGGTGAACAGTACAAAGACAATGCCACTCTCAGAGCATTTATAGCTCGTGGTGAGCAGCTACAAAATGGGACTTTTTTGCCAGTATCAAAGTATGAAAATATAAGAATAGCTTTTACCCTTTCTGGCAAATATAAACCTCTTGCAAGGAATCTGCATTAACCACACATGCTAGTGGTGAACATGCAAACAAACATGCTTTGATAATATATGCATTTGTCTTTGAAGCTGATTGGCCTACACCAGAGGCAGCAGCCTTCTTTATGCCCTTGTCTCACCGGTGTCAGACCAGTGTCAGACCAGTGTCGGACCAGCCACAGCGAGAGTCACACTGGATGTGGTGTGCGGTATTGTTTTACGGGTCACCGAACTCGGAAAGACCCAGCCGAAATCTAGCGGCATGGGAATGTTGTGCCAAACATAAAAAAACACCGCCAAATATGATCTAAAACGTGTGTGTTGGAGGCAGACCAGGAGCAGAAAAGCACAACTACATTGTAAGGTATTTGAAACTGCCCTTGAGAAAGTGCGGTCACCCAAGTTGCCGTTGTAAAAAAAGTATAATCTAAAAAGCCTCTATTGTTAAAGGCATGAATTAAAATAATCCAGCTCTTTTCAAGATAACTCTTCATAAAACGCTTTTACAAGCGGCACCCGAAATAATCAAAACGTTATGCAACGTCTGACACGCTCGTGACTTTTAGGCCAATTATCCACGTTAGGGGAATCATTGAATGAAAGAGAATGTTACGTAATTAACGAGGTTGCAATGACACATGCGAGTGCACAAAGGCAAGTGTGATTATGCTGCTGTCTCAAATTATCGCCATTTCCAGCAAGTAAAAGTTATCACGTGCAAGCCAGTTTCCAATCAAGAAAACTATGAATTTGCATAGACTTGTCAACGAAATGTATTTGTTGTTGTATCTTTGTTTAACCAGGCGAGAGCTCGCTGAAAGTTCACTGGTACTCAGTTGAGTGGTCGTGGTGGCGGTGGCTACGCACGCGGTCTGCAATCCAGCACTGTGGATCACACACACACACACACACACGTCACGAATTCCCCTTTCCGTGGGCGTCCGGGTTGACATATCCTGGCTGCCAGGTACAGCAGGTGGGTGAATCTCCGACTGTTTCCATCAGTACGGGGATAGAGTCTCTTTTGCACGCATGGGTTTTCTCCGGGGGAACTTTGGTGTCATCCCACCCGTTTCATCACTCGCTAACGTCCCAATGTAGGGGCCACAGAGCTTGGTGCCGGGTTCCGGCTGCGTCGCCGCCCGTTGGCACGTCGTTTCTCTTTGCACCGTACATAGTCGACGGTGTTAATAGGAGGTACGGGGGTGAGTGTGGGTGAGTGAGTGGTGGACTGTGTATGTACGTTGAACTTCTTTCGCACCGTACGTAGCCAACCGTTGCTAATCGGAGTTGCGGGGGTGAGTGGGTAGATGAGTGGGTGAGTGTGTGGGTGAGTAGGTGGGTGAGTGTGTATGTATGTACGTTGAACTTCTTTCGCACCATACATAGCCAACCGTGCCAATCGGAGGTGCGGAACGTGTGCCATGTAGTGTGCACGGTGTGTTCCGTGTAGTGTGTGTGCACCGTGTGTAGTGTGTGTGCACCGTGTGTAGTGTGTGCGCAGAGTATCCCAACGCCGTGAGTGTGCACAGGGCACAAGGCACCGCGCGGGCGTGCAGCAGGTGCTGTGCGTGTCGTGCGTACGCAGCGTACCGCCAGCTGCTGCTGCATGCGCAGGATGGCCGACTCCATGGAGGCCGGCGCGAAGCAGACGCCCATGCGCTTGTAGGCCGCGGGCGGAGAGGCCCTGGTCGGCCCCGGGCCCTTCTGGGGTGGCCCCGAGCACTCGCCTGCAGCGGAGAGACGAGCAACCCACGAGCAACCCTGAGCAACCCTGAGTAACCCTGAGCAACCCTGAGCAACCTTGAGCAACCTTGAGCAACTCTGAGCAACCCTGCATCCAAGCCTGTGCTTCAGAATAATTCAGGCATCGAGCCTGTCGACAAGCATCGAGTTTTTACTGAGGCCCTTCAGCAGCGACACTGCCTCTGGAGGTTCCATGTCAATGCAGGGGACTCGCTGTCAGCTGCTTGCATAAAGCGCCTGGTCCACTTACCACGATCGCACAGCGAGACTCACGCCGCCCTCCGTGTCCAAAGCGATTTGCTGCTCAAATGAGACGGTGCTCATCTCCGTGTCATGGCCATGAGCCAGTGGTGGAAATTTCCCGTTAATTTGGCGGGGTGAGTCGATCTCAACTAAACCGTTTCCGTGCAGACAGGGAACCATGAGTGGCTTTCAATTAGAACTCCGACATCGTCCTCCTAATCACTGGCGATGTTTAACTAACATATGTCATGTAGAAGAAGGATTTTGTGCATTTTCTATTTTTATTTTATTCTCTGGATGTGGGCATTGCTGGCGGTCCAGCAATACAACGAAACTGTCAAACATTTTTTTAAGAAAAACGAAACTCTATTTTACCAGGCAAGGTCCCACTGAGCTATGTAGCTCTTTTCAGAAGTGACCTGGCCACAAAGGATAGCTCAACCAAGTGGCGTATCACGTGGAAATTTATAGCAGCAAAAATACTCTAAAAGCATATTACTAAACGTAGAGGGAAAAACCGGAGAAAAATCCACACAACCACAGGGAGAATATGCAAAACATGTCAGGGTTCGGATCGAACCCACGACCTCCTGCATACCAGGCGAGGTAGATAACGTCTCGTCACCATGGTGCCCCTATCCATAGAGAAACCACTGTTGGCTTCCCACATACGGCGGTACTCATTAAAATGACCTTGGAGGAGTGATGGTCCAAGTCACCCGCCAGCCAGAATTGGAGCTCGCAACCTTTACAACTGGGAGCCACTAGCAATTGGGTTTGTTAAACACTGCATGCATCTCCTTGTTATTTTATGACATTATTACATAATTACTATTATATTAATAATATTTTAGTATATTATTACATATGAAATTATTATTGAGTATTTATTATATCATAAAATATGATTACGTTATTATTATTTTATGACATTATTTTACCCAGGAAAGCCTCACCGAGTCTCAGGAGGGTCTTGCCAAGTGTTCGCAGTCAGGGGGCGAGTCATTTTGCAGCTTATTCTTCACCACTGGGAAGTTCGGCCAAAACCGGTTCCACTCTGTGTGGTTTTCTTTTGGGGCGCCGTGGTGGCGAGATGTTAACTTCTTTAGAGCCAGGTGAGAACCCGCCGCAGAATGAGCCATGGACAGGATCACCCTTCATTGGCGGGGGCAACTCCCTCCCGCGGCAGAGAGCGGCGCAGCCAAACACCCGTCGCTGCAAACGCACCCTCGCCCGCCCTCGCCCGCCCTCGCCAGCCCCGCGCTGACCCGGCGTGCCGGCGGGATACGGTGGGGGACGGCGCTCGCCCAGCGGCGGACCGGCTAAACGGGCGGCAGGGAACTCACCTGCGCTTAGAGCGGCGGCCGTCTTGGCGCCACTGCCGCCGCTGGCGGCCGAGGGCTTGGGGGGAAGGGCCGGCGGCTGCTTGGCCGGGCAGCCGCTAGCGGCCTCCTTGGTCGGGTGTGCCGCGTCGGCCGCCGCCTCCGGCGCCTGCCCCGCCGACCTCCTGGGCTGCGCGGGCGACGCGGGCTGCGCCTGCTCGTCTGTTTGGCTCCCGCTAGCGTCCTTGGTTTCTGTGGGATGGGTCGGGGACCGGTATTATCGGACGAGCTTTAGGGGGGGGGGGAGGGGGCGGGGGGGGGGAAGAGATGGCCAGAGAGAGAATCCAGAGTGGAGTGGTGCGAGGGAAGAAGGGGAGGGAGAAGTGTTTTGACCTGCAGTGTGGTGGGTGGGTTGTTTTGATTTGAAGTATGGTGTTTGCGTGAGTAGGTGAGTGGGTGGCTGAGGGAGTGGTAGTGCAGCGGTTAGTGCGCTGCGCTACTAACCCACTCATGGCCAACACGAGTGACGATTATCTGAACCGGTTCTTGGACTCTCCTAGGTCGACCCAGCTTCAAATGAGTACCATGTGAAAACATCGCCACTAGGGAGGCAAGGCAGTCAGGCGTGGTGGTGCTGCCCATCCACCCCCTCGTGTGCCGTGCCGGCCTTCATAGGTGCTCACTAACAGCACTTGCCCCTACAGTCTGTTAAGGCTATACGGGGGATCTTTGTCTTTGCATCTATACCCAGTGAAACAAGTGACGTTGCCCAATGTTGGCACGTGCTTGGAACTGTTGGACCCGACGTTGGTGCAACGTTCCAAGTCGACTGGTTACGTGCACGTCTGCCCGTGTGTTGTGTGTGGGTGAGTGAGCGAGTGCATGAGCGTGTTGTAATCAGCAGTGTTGGCGGTGGTTGAACACAGTTCGATGGATGAGGCGCAGCAGTCAGCGTCTGCTAGAGACCGAGTCTTCAACACAAGTGGAGGAATCAACGAGAGTGAAGTTCACGGGAACAGGAACCATGGTGGTAGCAATATCTATATATAAATCAGAATATTTTTTTTTCTTCAGATGATTTATTTATACGGGAGGAATCCGATCAGCTATAAATCTCTTTATCACAGATGTCCAGTCGGGGCGGGTCAGAATGTTACAAGAACAAACAGTGTGCGTGTGTGCCGTGAGTGAAGCAGGAGGGAATTCTGAAATGCTGGTAGGAACCCACTGGTTCCACCAGCTCACAGGAGATTATTGTGTCCGTCCGTCGTGCAGGGAGGGGCTGGTTGGGGAGGGGCTGGGTGGGGAGGGTGGGGCTGGGTGGGGAGGGGAGGGTGGGGCTGGGTGGGGAGGGGCTGGTCACCCCGTGGTGCCCTGATAAAACTCAACGTTTAACCTACTCACGCCGGCTTGTGCCCGCCCTCACAGTCGGCCATATTTGCGGAATACACCACGCCGCCGTTGACCCTGGCCATTGACCGAGCAACCCAACGTTCCTACCAGCTCCCTCCGCAGGACAATGTGTTTATTTTGCCCGGGAATGCCTGGTTGAGTGTAGAGGACAACGCTTTTCCACACGGCCCTGCCACAGTGTAAATTGTTCATCAAACTGATACTTTTAATTCTCAGAGCTGGAATTTAGCCAAACTAAAACGGTGCTATACCGGACTTCAGAAGGAATCCTCGGAGCATGTATTTGGACTGCCGGAGGAATCCGAGGAGCTCTGAAACTCTTTCTCATAGATCTCCAATGTGGGCGGGTCAGCAGGTCTCAACAGCGACCGTGCGACACAACTGCAAACACCGACCCAAAGGCTTTTATTTTCATCTTCCAGGCAAAGCACATGTACCTTTGCTTTTATCTTGGTCCTCACTTGTGGGATCCGACTGGCTATGCTCAGGAGTCTCCGCACCCTCCTGTGCCTCTGCCTCTTGATTGGCCGCTCCAGGAGTCCCATGAGCCTCTTCCTCGGAGGTTTCGGATGGTGACGGCGTCTGGTCGTCTGGCACCGGGGAAAGACGCAAACAAGTCGGTCAGCAGAGCGGTGGCATGAAGTGTGGGCACTCTCACCCATTCCAAAGATGCTTTGACAGCATGGAAGAGTAGGCCAAATACCCACAAGAAGGACCCTCCAGAGCAGTGGTTCTCAGCCGGGGGTACGCGGACCCCTTGGGGTACACATGGTAATGTCTCAGGGGGGTACGTGGGGTGATTTATAAATGCGTGAAATTATATAATACATGAGTCATTGGTAAATAGTCGTGTATGAATCTGCCAACTTAAAATAACTACGATAAAATGTAGATCCATATGGTAGGCTAAAACGATATAAAAGACCTTTCTAAACTCAATGATCGTTCGCAATGTGATTTCCAAGAGGAACCAGCGTGCACGAACAATCTACGTCATGTGTGCAGAGCGTCCGTTGAATTTTCTTTATTCGCTTGCAGTTACTGGCTACTTAGGATATACCTCACAAAAATGGACAATCGGTTAAAATATTGACGTTCACCTTTGGTGCATTTATTTCTCAGAATGATTACCAATCTATATAATTACAATACCCTCCCCCTCTTTGCCTCGAATCACTGCACCAGATTGAATTGAATTAAATGATGACGTCACCCTGATGCTGCTGCTCTATTTAAGAGCGGAAGCAACAGGAGAGCTTCACCATTCTTGCCCGATGAAGCTGATTGTAATTACCAGCGAAACGTCGGACTACTTAAATTTAAAAATGCTGTTGATTCTCTCTACAGCACACCGGTGGGCTAAAGAAGTGAATTATTTTGTCCTTTGTAAACGTGACATATTTTTTACTGTTTGGCCGTGTCGGGTGGTGGAGGGTTACGACACATTTATAAATAACGCGATCTGACCCAAAAACCTATATTAATTTTTACTTATTTAATAACATTAAACAGTAAATACTTAACACGACTGAAACGACCACAATTTTTTTATTTTACCAGTTAAGGCTCACTGAGATGTGTAGATCTTTTTCAGAAGCGACCTGTTCACAAATGACAGCTCAAAGCAAGTGGCTTACAATGTGGAAGTTTATGGCAGCCAAATAGTCTAATCGCGCGTTTCTTAGTGAGGAGGGAAAAACCGGAGGACCCGGAGAGAAACCCACGCGACCACGGTGAGAACATTCAAACTCCAAATATACAGCAGGCGTCAGGGTCGGGGTCGAACCCACGACCTCCTGCACACCAGGCACATCAGCTTATTGGCACGCCGCACACGTTACAGCAAGTCCCCGGGTTGCGGAAGACCCGACTTACGGAAATACGACTTTACAGAAATTCTTCCATAAGTCATGTTTAAATAAAATCTATACGCGGAATGTTTGTGCGTTAGTGCAAGTAGTGCAAGTAGTGCAGCGCGGTGAGGTTGCGGATGAATACCACGGAGCGAGGCGTGACTTGGGCCACCTTTCGCCTCACTCCACCAAAACGCCGCCTTCACCGAGCCCGAGTTTCACCGGATTAAGCTGAATGGAATTTTCAGTAGCATTTCGTAATTATTTTCCTTTTGGAGCATTACATAATTGTTTGTTTTCTATGCTCAGAACTTTTTTCCCAGGTTTCTATTGCTAGTTTTCTTAATAACTTTATTTCATGAGTTATTTACTGTACGTGCTTTATTTAACACAATTACACTTCAATTGTTTATGGTCTCAGCATACAGCGAATGGGGAAGTCGAGGCCTAGCCTAATGCACCAGTAAAGGAACATTCGGAAGTGACTGCCTTCTGTTAACAATTACTATTACAATGTTTCGTGGTATTCATAAACAATTGGATACAGCATATGCTCCACTAGTTTCATAATGGGGAGTGTTCAGGTAGATATTCGATTAAATGAAAGTGCAGAGCGTATGTACAGCGATACGGAACAGGTAGCGATAGCGCGAGACAATACTGAGAGAAGACGGTAGAGGAGGCACAACCATTTCTGGCCATGGGATTTTGGGGGAAACATTTTTCCGTTTCCGACACAGGGAAATTTCGGGTAATGCATCGTTCTCCGGAACCTAACTCTTCCGTCACCCTGGGACCGCCTGTATTTTCTCTCTTAGCTGATAACATCCCAGTGCTGGGCAATGGCCACTCCCAATCCCTTCCTCTTCACAGTGGCTAGATGTTCACTACCTCGCCTGGTCTACAGGAGGTCGTGGGTGCGACCCCGACCCTGACGCCTGCTGCATATTTGGAGTTTGCGTGTCTCTCTCCCCATGGTCGCGTTGATTTTTTTCCGGGTCCTCCGGTTTTCCCCTCCACATTTAGAAACATGGAGTGGGCCTTACCTGGTAAAATAAAAATAGTTTCGTTTCACCGTCTCTTGCTACCTCCATCCAATGCGCTCCTCCGCATCTTCTCATCTCGTCCCCACCATCTCATTTCTTGTCTCCCTCTCCATTCCCTTCCCTCTATTGGCCTCCTTTCCCTCGTTATTCTTGCACATTCATCATCCAATGTCCTTGCCCAACCTAATTTCAGCTTGTTTTCATTTCGTGAATTATGTATGCTCAACTTCTTTCACACCGTACGTAGCCAACCGTGCTCATCGGAGGTGCGGAGGAAGGACAACAAACTAAACACAAAAAGGAGTTCCAAAGAAATCAGTTTTCTATTTATATTTAAAAGTGCATAGCTCCAGTGGGGTCCTATTATCGGAAGGAAGGGGATTCCAGACGGCCGCAGGGCGCCTGAAAGCGCGCGATGCGGTGACCGTCTTTGTTCGATGGCCAGCCAAAAGCCCACTGCCTGGGAAACATCTGTTACCCTGCTTTTAATTCTCAAGTCCTCATTTCTCATTTTGTCCCTCGGTGCGTCACGTGAAGGCCACCGGAAAGCCACGGCAAGGGGGCACGGCACGTCAGCCGAGCGGCCACACGCACCGCAGCTGCTGAGAGACGTATTCGCCTGACGTCTCATCGCCAGCTGCCCCTGGGGTCTCTGAGAGCCGCGTGCGATCTGAAGATGGGACACTCAAGTCAAGGAGGTCACGATGATGGGAATCCTCCAATTGTAGCGAAAATGCTTTCAGAAGAGATGCTTGAACCGAGACGCCCTGACACGGGATGCCGGTGTTCCGACGGTAATTGCGTTACGCCGGGTCGCGTGTACGTGAAACGAGACGTACACCGGAGCCAACGAGCGGCCGAGAATCACGATGAGCCCGTGAGCCCGTGAGCCGTTCCCCAGCCCCTTGCGATGGAGAGACGCGGCTCGCAAGGTGGCAGCACCTGTACCGCGTGCGGTCGCAAGGCGACAAATCATCGTTCTAAAAATAGCCTCTGCCGATAAGTGTTCTTCTGCTGGCTCTGACAAAAGGGATTTCAAGAGGCAACAAAGGTGCGTTGTGCACAAAGCAGAATCCTCGTGACAAGTGTTTATATTCACTCTCAAGGGTGCACGGAGACTTCATAGATCTCTCCTGGACACACGTGCACGCGCTGGGGTTTGGGATGAGTTTATATTGAATCTTCCAGATTCTGAATATTCAGATGTTTTGGGGAGAAAACATTGTGGGCGATTTATTTTAATCGCTCAACTTCCAATCAATTGGTAATTTGACTAATTTTGCGTTTTAAAGGCTTTGGATTCACTCATTACTTTTCAGTATTTAAACATTCACATATGGATCTGAATGTGTTTGTTTTTAAAGGGCAATGCTGTTTATGTTTTAAGGACATCCTCAATGAGCCTTAACCCCCGGGAGTAGACATTAAATGCATATTCCGCGTGTGTGTACACACACGTCTACTGCATGGAGCAGGAGTGTAGTGGTTACTGCACTGCGCAATGAACGTGGCGGCCCCAGTTTTATTCCCAGCTACGACCAATAACAGTGGCAGCGAATATATGAACCGGTCCTAGGCCTCCCCTCGGTCGACTCAGCCTTAAATTAGTATCTGATGTGGTGTGTAAATACAAGTCATGGGGAGGCCAAGGCGGCCAGGCGTGGGTCCAGGCCATACCATGCCCTCGTGTGCCGTGGCGGACTAAATAAGTGCTCACGAAGCAGCACTTGCCCCAACAGTCTGCTAAGGCTATAGAGGGGATCTTTGTATATTTTTGCTGGTGAATGGAACAAGGGGGGGGCGGGACCGCTGCACATTGTCGGCTTTGGGGTGCCGTGGTGGTGAGATGTTAAACTCCCTCGCCCGGTATGCAGAATGTACATATGTAATGTACAGTACATACATTATGTATGTTGATTAACTGACCTGAAACAGGAGGAAGATTTCTCCACAATTCTGGTTGTCGCGTGACGAGGCTGGTTGTTGTTGTTGTAATTACTGGCGAAACGTCACGGTAGTCGAATTGTAAATGTTGTAGTGGGTTTACCCTCCAACACACAACCGGTGAGTGCTGAATTCATAACTAATTGGCACGTTTTGTTTACGTTACAAACCTTACTAATTATCTGCGTCGGATGGTGGCGGGTTTACCGACACATTTATATTTACACGATCTAACACAAAAAAAACTCTTTCATGGATGGTATGCAGGAGGTTGTGGGTTCGATCCCGACCCTTACGCCTGCTGCTGTATATTTGCAGTTTGCATCTTTCTCTCTCTCCTCGTGTTGGCGTGCATTTTCCACCGGGCCCTCCAGTTTTTCCCTCTGCATTTAGAATCAACATCACGCGTTCAGAGTTTTTGGCCGCTGCTATAAACTTTCACGCGATGATAACAAGCCACTTCGTTGGGCTATATTCGCAATAGCCAGGTCGCTTCTGAAAAAGAGCTGCACAGCTCAGTGGGGGGTTAAAATAATAAATAGATTCAGTTTTTAGCTTCGGTTACGTAAAAGCGACGTTACGCGGTAAAGGACGACGGGCGGATGATACGCACGGCGTGGCGCCGGGCGTATCCCTCGCCCTGCTGCAGCAACGCTCTCGCCGCCTGCTCACGTTCGCGTCCGCACGACCTTCAGAGCGGCGGTGCTTTTTTTGGTCGTTTAATAAATACGTCACGGTCACGTCCCGATTGTGCCGCTCTCAAGAGTTATTTTCACGAGGTTGTTAGGGGAATGTCCTTCCCGAATGCTCGTAGTCAGCAGAGTAATAATAATAATAGTCGAGTCACATTTGGTGTCCGCGCCGTTCGTCTGGCGCATGGCGATCGTCACGAACGACGGCGCTGGAGTATTTGGCTGCTATAAATTTCCACGTGATAAGCCGCTTCGTTGAGCTATCAATTTTTGTCACTTTTGAAAAGGGCTTCTCATCTCGCCCCCATCATTTAATTCCCAGTCTCCCTCTCCATCCCCCTCCCTCTATCGGCCTCAATTCTCTCGTTAATCTCACATAGCCGTCCTCTGATGTCCATGCCCAACTTGATTTCATTCTTTTTTTAACTTTCTGAATTATGTACTGAATGTATGCTGGACTTCTTTTGCACCGTACGTAGCCAACCGTGCTAATCGGAGGTGCGGGCGTGAGTGGGTGAGTGTGTGGGTCAGTGGGTAGGTGAGTGGGTGGGTATGTACGTTGAACTTCTTTTGCACCGTACGTAGGGGCGATATTGCTGCTCCGTGCGATCCCAATTTGAGTAATTTTGCGGGGTAATTTTTGTGTCATTTCCAAAAATTTGGAACCGTGACAAATTCGTGTATTTATTTATGTATTTGTTACTTTTCTGTTTGGGTGGCGGTGCCCGGCCGGTGATGGCAGCTGCTGTGGAGGCGCTCACCTGTCCCGGCGAGCTCCTTCAAGACTCCTTTCCGAATCAGCTCCTCTCTGCTCGCACGGCTCGAAATCTTCTTCTCGAGAACTGCAAATTTTAAAAGACAATCGGGAAGTTAAATTTTCATCATCAACATCATTTAACGGGCGTGCTCCATTCACTGCTGGATGAGGGCCTGCACGTGCCGCTGACGGCGGTGCCTCTCGCACGACCCCGCAAACTCGCTTAGCGCAATAAAAATTTTAAAGCGTTAAATGAACTATGGGATGGTTGACGTTCACTCTCCCAGCAGCTTACAATGTTTCCCGGTGAGCGGAGGAGGTTCACGGAAAAGAAAAAAAACACCAATCTTTTTTAAAGATATGTTTCAACCCGTCGCTGCGACGCGAAAAGACATCGAGCTCACCGTAAGGGAACGCCGCCATCTCTGTACTTCTCCATTTTGGTTTCTTCCGTCCGGTGGTGAGCGGCTCGCAATCGGAAGGTCGCGAGTTCAATCCTGGTTGTGGACTGACTCGAAACTAAAGTGAAACTATTTTATTTACCAGGGGTACAGCAGTAGCCAAACAAGGTTGAGAACCACTGATATACCGCTCCCTCTCGTGCAGGATCTTCTGCCAGCAGGGGCATGAGCGACTTAATTGCAGGGCTGCACATTTACCTCGTGTGGAATAGCTCTACGATTATAATTGACAAATACTTTTAAAAAAAAATGGAAAATAACTAATTTGCTTAACACTACTAAAACCATCACAATTTTTTTTATTGTACCCACTGAGCTATGCAGATTTTCTAAGAGGTGACCAGGCCACACATTATAGCTCATGGAAGTGGCTTGACATATGTGGGAATTTATAGCAGCCAAATAATCTAAATGTGGAGGACAAAACTGGAGGCCCCGGAGAAAAATCCAAGTGACCCCCACAGGAAGAGAGACACGCAAACTCCAAATACACAACAGGTGTTGTCAGGGTCGGAGTCGAACCCACTACCTCCTGCATAACAGGCGAGGCAGCTAACATATCACCACCGCAGTGCCCCATTATCCTCCTGTCCGAGGTCGATAATACAAGTGCCACTTAGTGGACAGACTCAACGCCTCAATACCAATGCAGAATACTCCACCCCCTTACTCAGGCCTGTAAACCGACGTTCAGCGCCGCCCCAACGCTCATTTGGGCAGGAAATCTCCTTGACTTCTCCGACATGGTGACTTAGTGACATTTGTCGCCGTTCACACACAAACACACACGCATCCATCTCATGATGCGCTGCAGCCGCGATACAAATTGTGATACGCTTGACACTGCGTGGCAGTTGATACCATCCACGCGGACCACGGGGAAATCAATTCGCTGGCGCTATTGCTTAAAAAATAAAAAGAGTGGTCATTTAAAAAAAAAAATTCCGATAAAACGTTTCTTGAAAAAATAAATAAAAGGTGATAGCAATTTGGCCATTAGATCCGTGGTGGGGGGGGGGGGGGCATTCGCAAGTAGGCGGAGAGACCCGTGCAGCCTGGCGGGTAAGCCCTTGCGGGGTCTCGCCTTCAGCACCCGCAAGACGGAGCGCGCCGCCCGGTTTACATCTCCCCCACCGCCACCACATCGCGCCACTGCGCCAGTAAAGTGCAATCTAAGGGGCGGCCGGGTGACGCAGTGCTAACACCCGTGTGCCTCACAGCGAGAAGGGCTCTGAATTCAATTCCAGACTCGGCCTCTCTCTGTCTGGAGTTTGCACGTTCTCTCCCCCTGTTCTGCGTGGGCTTTCTCCAGGTTCTATGGTATCCTCCCATAGTTCTGTGGACCGTTTTCCACGGCCCTGCGGACCACCGGTGGAGCCATGGATCTACCGGCTGGGAACCACCGTTGTTGAGTACAGTATTCACAAGACTGGCACATGTATGTCTTAATCGAGCCCGCTTCACCTTCACAGAGCTCGATGCAAGCAAATGCCGTGGAATTCAACGAGATGCTTTCCTGTTGAAGTCGAGCCGACCTTCATCCGAGAAAGGTCACGGTGTGACGAATCTCACAATGGAGATGCTCCGGAGCTCAGTTAAATAGGCTTCAATGTAACGGGGAGGATCTTCTCTTTCAAGGGCTCTTTATTATCCAGACTGGCGCAGGCGTGGAGAGGCCCTCATCCAGCAGTGGATCTACAGGCGCTACAGATGGTCCGTGTGTACAATGTAAATCGGATGAGACTCAAGAGAGGTGTTTTTGCAGATTTTCGCTTTCCAGTGTCCGAGCTACGAGCTCTGCATTCAGATCACACGCGCGGGCCACATAAAATATATTTCATTTGGGCAAATCCAACGCGACCGGGCGTGGGGGGGGGGACACAATAGAATCTACCGATAAAAATGCCGCACCCTGCATGAGCGAATGAGCTCTCTCGCTTTCGGTGCGGCTTCCAACAGCAACACAACTGCACTGCGATCGTGGCATCTGTTGGTCCTTCATTTTTCAATATTCGCCGGGTCGCTGGGAGACCGGAGAAGTTGGCACGTGACCAGCGGTAGCCACGGCCCATGGCAAGAGGCACATTGGGTGTGGTGTGCCGGGGCGCGGAAATATATTCTGGGTCACCGACCCGGCAGAAATTAAAATCCGTGGGATTTTTCGATTCTGCAGAAGCGCCCCGGCCGGCCGGGCAGACGGGAGGGAGGCTGCCCCGGTGCTCTCTCCAGCCCAGCACCCTCCCACCCACCTCCCTGGGCGTTCGCAGCTCTGCTGCCGTACGGCTCTCCGATGAGCTTTCAAGCCGGACCGCGCGGCGCGTTGTTGTCCGGTGCGATGTCCGACGTTCGAGGTCCACGTGCCGGCGGCTTCTTCGGTTAGCAGCTCCCGGTACGTCGTGGAGAGGAACATTCCCGGCACGTCACGTGGATCGAAACTTTCGGACACGGAGTCCGAACCAACGCAACGGCACGTCGTGAGAAACTCTCGCATCCCCTTTTGGTTTCACAGAACGAGCCAGCGGAGAATTCGCAGTCTCTGCTGGGGAGCACCATCCGCATTCCCACCCCCTGCCACCGCTGCCACGCCAGGATGCGCAGCCGCTGGAGCGCCTGGGTAATTCCCTCCATAAAATGGGAAAATCCAATTGTTTATTTATCACGAGCTGGGAGCCCAGCAGAAATGCGCTTTTTTTTCTTTTTTGCAGAGGCACAACCTCAATCGAATTGGGACAAAATGTGCTGCAAAATAGAACGGGCACCTGATCATTAACGGTCACGGGCAAAGAAAAAAACTTGTGGAAATATATACTGTGCAATGGTTAGTCATTCTCTACCCACTGCTGGATGTAGGCCTCTTTCGAGTCATCGACCAATACTCGTGGTGCTGCGACGCTGCAATCCTTAATCAATAATGGAAATTAAAACAGCGTACGGCAGTACCCTCTGCAGGAAAGCAATCCTAGCAGCCTCCCAAGTGTTTGGTTGGGAGCGCCACTGGACAGAGCAACGGCGATTGTTACTATTTATTATGACATTTTGATTTCCCAGGAAAGCCTCGCCGAGTCTCACGACTCTCTGTCAGGAGGGTCCTGCCAGGTTTTCACAGGCACAGGGGCGATAGCTGCCATCTATGATCCCGAACGCGTAATTTGCGGAGTAATTCTTGTTTTCACTTGCACCACGGTAGCCGGCACAGAATGGCCTGCTCTGGCGAAATGACATCAAGGTATGTTTAAAGCCCATTGTGAGCGAAGCAGAGTTATAACAACCAACAAAGTTACAACAACCAACGATAAAAACACACGATCGGAGTGCAAAGTAAAGGTTATGTAAGCAAATCACTAAACATACGTAAAGTAGATAAAGTATATGAGTTCAAATTGCATGAGTACACCAATTCCCAACCTTGGGCAAGGCAGCAAAACAACAGCAGGAACAGGTCCAGACCACACCAAGACAACAAAGCACAGTCAGTCCCTCAATATAATTGTGCATTGAAAGTTGTTGTGACCTGCAGTGTGGTGAGTGGGTGAGTGATTCAGTCGTTGTGACCTGCAGTGTGGCGAGTGGGTGAGTGAGTGGATGGGTGAGTTGGTGTGACCTGCAGTGTGGTGAGTGGGTGAGTGAGTTGTTGTTGTGGCCTGCAGTGTGGTGAGTGGGTGAGTGAGTTGTTGTGACCTGCAGTGTGGTGAGTGGGTGAGTGATTCAGTTGTTGTGACCTGCAGTGTGGTGAGTGGGTGAGTGAGTTGGTTGGTGTGACCTGCAGTGTGGTGAGTGGGTTAGTGACTGAGTGAGTTGTTGTGACCTGCAGTGTGGTGAGTGGGTGACTGAGTGAGTGATTGAGTGGATGAGTGAGTGAGTTGGTGTGACCTGCTGTGTAATGAGTGGGTGACTGAGTGAGTTGTTGTTGTGACCTGCAGTGTGGTGAGTGGGTGACTGAGTGGGTGACTGAGTTGGTTGGTATGACCTGCAGTGTGGTGAGTGGGTGACTGAGTGGATGAGTGAGTTGGTGTGACCTGCAGTGTGGTGAGTGGGTGAGTGAGTGAGTTGTTGTGACCTGCAAGTTGGTGAGTGGGTGACTGAGTGAGTTAGTTGTTGTGACCTGCAGTGTGGTGAGTGGGTGACTGAGTGAGTTGTTGTGACCTGCAGTGTGGTGAGTGGGTGAGTGACTGAGTGAGTTGTTGTGACCTGCAGTGTGGTGAGTGGGTGAGTGACTGAGTGAGTTGTTGTGACCTGCAATGTGGTGAGTGGGTGAGTGACTGAGTTGGTGTGACCTGCAGTGTGGTCAGTGGGTGACTGAGTGGATGGGTGAGTGAGTTGGTGTCACCTGCAGTGTACAGACATACAGCAAAAACAACACAGTACAGACACATACAGTAAAAACAACACAGTACAGATACTACAGTAAAAACAACACAGTACAGAAACGTACAGTAAAAACAACACGGTACAGAAACGTACAGTAAAAACAGCACAGACACGTACAGTAAAAACAACACAGTACAGATACTACAGTAAAAACAACACAGTACAGAAACGTACAGTAAAAACAACACAGTACAGAAACGTACAGTAAAAACAGCACAGACACGTACAGTAAAAACAACACAGTAGACACGTACAATAAAAACACAGTACAGACACGTACAGTAAAAACACAGTACAGACACGTACAGTAAAAACAACACAGTACAGACACGTACAGTAAAAACAACACAGTACAGACACGTACAGTAAAAACAACGCAGTACAGACACGTACAGTAAAAACAACACAGTAGACACGTACAGTAAAAACACAGTACAGACACGTACAGTAAAAACACAATACAGACACGTACAGTAAAAACAACACAGTGCAGACACGTACAGTAAAAACAACACAGTACAGACACGTACAGTAAAAACACAGTACACACATACAGCAAAAACAACAGTACAGACACGTACAGTAAGAACACAGTACAGACACGTACAGTAAAAACACAGTAGACACGTACAGTAAAAACAACACAGTACAGACACGTACAGTAAAAACTACAGTACAGACACGTACAGTAAAAACTACAGTACAGACACGTACAGTAAAATAAAGACACGTACACTAAAAATAACACAGTACAGACACGTACAGTAAAACGCAGTACAGACACGTACAGTAAAAACAACGCAGTACAGACTGGGCCCTGTCTTTTTACACGCTTTTATTTCCTCAAAAAAGAAATCTTGTAACTCAATGTTTACCCACTTCCCAATGTGCTATCGACTGCACACTTGGTATAGGTATGTCATACTGATGACAACACGATATTCTATCATAAAAAATCCAAAACATATATTTTTAAACTTTTGACACGCTTTTATTTAACTTACTGTATGTGTTGTATCCAAAAATATTGTAAATCAATTTCAACCGTATTCCCAATATCATATCGACTTCAAACTTCGTATAGCTTTGTCATAGTGATGACAATACTATATTCTATCATTGAAAATAAAATATATATATTTTTAAACGATATTTTAACGGCCCTAATTGTCCACGCTCAACTGACGTTGCCTGTAAATCACCACGTGGTCCCTGACGTCACGGCAAGTCTCGGGGAGCCACGCCCAGGGGCGGGGGGTGTGGAAGGAGGGGAGGGGCGATGGGGGCAGGGACAGGGGCAGCTCGGACAGTACATTTCATTAAAACGTGTTTAAAAAAAAGTATTTTCTAATATTTTATTACTGTACGAGAGGCATTATAGAAGGCACACACACACACGTGAATGACATCAAACTATTTATAAAATAACGGGCTTTTGGCAGGCCACGTCCCGGCCAGAAGGCATGACAGCCCGAGGGGCTGAGACTATTCGATGGCGGCAAGGGATAGAAGGCATCCGCCGACGAGATGGCATGGGGAGACATCCAGCGGTGAATTGACCGTGGCTGACGACGACGGCTTTGCGCTCGAGACTTCCCTGCCGGCGCCCATCGCTCCCGTCTAGAGGCCGACCGAAATTCGGTTTCGGCGCCGAAAGTTGGCAAATGGCCTCTTTCGGCATAGTTTCGGTTTAGGTCGAAAGTCAATTTTTCACTTTCGGTTCACTTTCGGTTTTGGCCGATAGTCAATTTTTCACTTTCGGTTCACTTTCGGTTTTGGCCGATAGTCAATTTTTCACTTTCGGTTCACTTTCGGTTTTGGCCGATAGTCAATTTTTCACTTTCGGTTCACTTTCGGTTTTGGCCGATAGTCAATTTTTCACTTTCGGTTTCGGATGAAACTAGAAATTCAGTTTCGGTCGGCCTCTCCTCCGGTCACCCTCCCCACACACCGCGCCCGCAACAATCGTCGCTCGTCTCCTCACCCGCGCTCGTCTGCTGGAACTTCTCGCTCTTCTTCTTCTTGCGCCACTTCCACGGCTTGAAGATCCTCCCGAAGCCCGCGAACTTGCTACTGCTGCGCCTGCGTGCGGGCGGCGTGTGCCCGCCGCCCGGCATCAGCGCGTCCGTGCGCATCGCTGCCAGCCGGGTGAGGTCATCCACTGCGCGCACAAACACAATATCAGTAATATTTAAAACAAACTTTAAAAAAAACACGCTTTTATGAAATGTACCGTACTCGTAATGGAAGAACTCCACAACTCGAGGAAGTGGCCCCGAAGCTTGCCACAACGTAAGGGACCGTGGTGAGCGTGGACAATTAGACCCAAGCCGAAACATAACATATAAAAAATAATGTAAAAAAATATATATTTAAATTTTTTTTATAATAGAATATAGTATTGTCATCAATATGACATATGTATACCAAGTTTGCAGTCGATACCACATTGGAAAGTGGATTAAAATTGATTTACAAGATTTGAGGAGACAAAAACCACAACAACGACAACAACAGAGTGAGTTAAAAGAAAGTGTGTAATAATAAAAAGATCCCCGCCACCACCACCACCCCGGTGTAGGCTTAGCAGACTGTTGGGGCAAGTGCTGTGAGGAGCGAGCAGCGGCGCCTATGAAGGCCGGCACTGTGGCACACGAAGTGGTGGGTGGCCAACACCACGCCGGGCTGCCTTTGTCTCCCTCGTGGCGATGTTTACACGTCGCACCAGGTACTCATTTGAGGCCGAGTCGACCTATGGGAGGCCCAGGACCGGTTCAAATAATCGTCGCTGGTGTTGGCAGTGGGCGGGAATCAAACTCGGGTCACCGGGTTCATACCACAACGCTGCACACTCAACACATGGGGAGAAGGTGACACACGATTATTTTTTGGTAAAATTTGAGCTTGTTTACCCAGGAAAGCCTCACTCGGTCTCAAGACTTTGTTGAGGATGGTCCTGCCACATTTTCAACAATAGAGGAAGATGTTGCTCTCTGTGTAATCCCAATTGAGTAATTTGGAGGTAATGTCTCAGAATTGGGATGTTTGCCCAATACCAGGTGCATTGTTGTTGTATTATCTATGGGAGGAACCAAACTAAACTATTGTTATTTTTCGATTTAAAGCTTTCGATTTAAAGCTTTGTTATAAAGTATTGTTATTTTATCAGATAAGGCCCACTGAGCTATGCAGCTTTTTTTCACAAGCGACCTGGTTACCAAAAGTGATAGTTCAACTTAGTGGCTTATCATGTAGAAATGTATTACAGTCAAATACTCTAAACGCATGTTTCTAAATGTGGAGGGGAAAACTGGGAGGACCCCGAAAAAAATACATGCGACCAGAGGGAAAACATGCAAACTCCAAAAACACAGGCGTCAGAGTCGGGATCGAACCCACGACCTCATGTATACCAGGCAAGGGAGTTAACATCTCGCCACCACGGCAGAAACCAGAGAACCTGGTGGAAACCCATGTAGAACATCTGGAGAACAAACTCCACACAGCGAGGTGCCCGAGTCGAGAATCGAACCCTGGCGCTTGTTGCTTTGAGGCGCAAGACGACCGGCTCACTCACCAACCTCCCACATGTGAATCTTAAACGTGCCTCTTGGGACGGCCCTGTTTCCAAACTCGTTTTTGAATCAGTGGCCTCGACATTTACACGACCGGACGTTCAGCTTTGTTGAGCTGGTGGGTCTGGACAAGGCTGAGAGGGTTGGTAGATGCAACGTGGTGGTCACCAGGTGCACACACAGTCGTGAGCAGCAACACAGCCGCCACTGCGTGTTGTGAACTCTGGCAGCCTTCCATGCTCACGTCGTGGATCACCGTCATCAGCCCGAGGGGACCGCGAACTCACGCAACGGCGCTGGCCACACAGGGCCCAGTCACCTGGCCACACGTCTCTCCCACACAGGGCCCAGTCACCTGGCCACACGTCTCTCCCACACGGGGCCCAGTCACCTGGCCACACGTCTCTCCCACACGAGGCCCAGTCACCTGGCCACACGTCTCTCCCACACGGGGCGCAGTCACCTGGCCACGCGTCTCTCCCACACGGGGCCCAGTCACCTGGCCACACGTCTCTCCCACACGGGGCCCAGTCACCTGGCCACACGTCTCTCCCACACGGGGCGCAGTCACCTGGCCACACGTCTCTCCCACACGGGGCCCAGTCACCTGGCCACACGTCTCTCCCACACGGGGCCCAGTCACCTGGCCACACGTCTCTCCCACACGGGGCCCAGTCACCTGGCCACACGTCTCTCCCACACGGGGCCCAGTCACCTGGCCACACGTCTCTCCCACACGGGGCGCAGTCACCTGGCCACACGTCTCTCCCACACGGGGCCCAGTCACCTGGCCACACGTCTCTCCCACACGGGGCCCAGTCACCTGGCCACACGTCTCTCCCACACGGGGCCCAGTCACCTGGCCACACGTCTCTCCCACACGGGGCCCAGTCACCTGGCCACACGTCTCTCCCACACGGGGCCCAGTCACCTGGCCACACGTCTCTCCCACACGGGGCCCAGTCACCTGGCCACACGTCTCTCCCACACGGGGCCCAGTCACCTGGCCACACGTCTCTCCCACACGGGGCCCAGTCACCTGGCCACACGTCTCTCCCACACGGGGCCCAGTCACCTGGCCACACGTCTCTCCTACACGGGGCCCAGTCACCTGGCCACACGTCTCTCCCACACGGGGCCCAGTCACCTGGCCACGCCACGAGCAGCAGCCGCACGAGCGGCAGAGTCCCAATATCGTGACAATTCCCGACACGGGACGCTCCCGGTTTCCCACCCACAACAACACGAACTGCGCTGCCATCAAAACCGTTAACACAAGTGCAGCGATAAAATCTCAAACTGGAGATGGGATATAAAAATAAAATTTACACGCGCAAAAGATTATTATTATTATTTACGACGCAAAGGAATAAATCAGACGGCTGGGAGCGGTCTCCCCTCCTCCCCCCACCACCACCTAGCCGTCACCATAGCGGCGAGGCGGCGGCACCACCCCGCATTTGTCAATTCAAGGTCAACAGAGCCCCGACCCAGCGCCTGCGGAATCCGCAGGGTCCTCATCGCAGCGACGGCGACAACAAAAAGACGCGTGCGACACGAGCGCGCCAAGCCATCGAGGCGATCTCCGATTCCGTAATTGATTTTCGGTGTGAGGCCTACGTAATGATCTTGGGCGTTAGTGAGCCGTGAACCTCCCTCTCCTCTCCCGCACCAAGGGGGGCAGCGACTGTGGCAGCCCCCGGCCGTCTGGGACGCGGCCACCGTCGTCCCGCTGCTGCCGCACATTCGCAACAGCGCGCGCTCTACATCGACCTTTAAGATGCACTCAAAGGCCCCCATGTCTTTATTGAAGTCCATGTCTTTCTTAAAGGCCACATTTTAAAGGCCACCTCTTAAAGGCCACTCCTACTGCGAAGGCCACCTCTACATGAAGGCCACGTCTACATGAAGGCCACGTCTACATGAAGGCCACGTCTACATGAAGGCCACCTCTACATGAAGGCCACGTCTACATGAAGGCCACCTTTACATAAAGGCCACCTCTACATGAAGGCCACGTCTACATGAAGGCCACCTCGACATGAAGGCCACGTCTACATGAAGGCCACCTCTACATGAAGGCCACCTCGACATGAAGGCCACGTCTACATGAAGGCCACCTCTACATGAAGGCCACCTCGACATGAAGGCCACGTCTACATGAAGGCCACGTCTACATGAAGGCCACGTCTACATGAAGGCCACCTCTACATGAAGGCTACGTCTACATGAAGGCCACCTCTACATGAAGGCCACCTCGACATGAAGGCCACGTCTACATGAAGGCCACCTTTACATAAAGGCCACCTCGACATGAAGGCCACCTCTACATGAAGGCCACGTCTACATGAAGGCCACGTCTACATGAAGGCCACCTCGACATGAAGGCCACCTTTACATAAAGGCCACCTCGACATGAAGGCCACCTCGACATGAAGGCCACCTCGACATGAAGGCCACGTCTACATGAAGGCCACCTCGACATGAAGGCCACCTCGACATAAAGGCCACCTCGACATGAAGGCCACCTCGACATGAAGGCCACGTCTACATGAAGGCCACGTCTACATGAAGGCCACCTCGACATGAAGGCCACCTCGACATGAAGGCCACCTCGACATGAAGGCCACCTCTACATGAAGGCCACGTCTACATGAAGGCCACCTCGACATGAAGGCCACGTCTACATGAAGGCCACGTCTACATGAAGGCCACGTCTACATGAAGGCCACGTCTACATGAAGGCCACCTTTACATAAAGGCCACCTCGACATGAAGGCCACCTCGACATGAAGGCCACCTCTACATGAAGGCCACGTCTACATGAAGGCCACCTCGACATGAAGGCCACCTCGACATAAAGGCCACCTCGACATGAAGGCCACCTCGACATGAAGGCCACGTCTACATGAAGGCCACGTCTACATGAAGGCCACCTCGACATGAAGGCCACCTCGACATGAAGGCCACCTCGACATGAAGGCCACCTCTACATGAAGGCCACGTCTACATGAAGGCCACCTCGACATGAAGGCCACCTCGACATGAAGGCCACGTCTACATGAAGGCCACGTCTACATAAAGGCCACCTCGACATGAAGGCCACCTCGACATGAAGGCCACCTCTACATGAAGGCCACGTCTACATGAAGGCCACCTCGACATGAAGGCCACCTCGACATGAAGGCCACCTCGACATGAAGGCCACCTCGACATGAAGGCCACCTCGACATGAAGGCCACCTCGACATGAAGGCCACCTCTACACGAAGGCCACCTCTACCTCAAAGGCCCCAACATCTCTTTGGCCCGGCTTTAGAGCGACATGGAACCTCAGTCATCGTCAACTTATGTCCGTGAAATATCGTGCGCGTTACAAATCGCACCACCGTCATTATTAAAACCTTTCTCCACGGCAAATTAAATTCTGAATCTTTATTTAGACTGCAGGAGGAGGAATCCGATGAGCTATGAAGGTTGTTTTTTAAAGATCTCCAGTATGGGCGGGTCAGCAAATACAACAAACAAGTGTATGTGACACGACTACACGATCTTCCCAAAGGACTTGCTCTTTTCTACTTTTTTTC